AGGAAAGAGCTGCATACAATACATGGAGATAGCAAAAGACATCAAGGAGAGTTTTGAAAGGCTTGTGGAAAACTTGAAAATGTTATGAAACAGTGTGAATAAGAGCAGATGGAACTCAGTGCAGTGGAAGGAGAGGTGTGTATTGGCCAGTGGGAGCTAACAGCTCCTTTCACCACCACTAAACCACAGATTTGTGGAAAAAACACAGTGGGAAGGAAGCAAGGTGTTGCCAGATCATCCCATTTCCATTTAGAGCTTAGAGAACTGGGTCTGTACGGAGCAATTGCACTTCTCTGAAAAGGCTCAAGAGGTCAGAGTTAAAAATCGAAGCTGGCAAAACGAGCACCAGCTGTATGAGCTGCTTGGAAAGCAACTCCAGGCGAGGAACTCACTAAGAAACAGCATAGCACAAAAGATTATACCCAGCAAACTGTGCTGACGTACAAAAACAAGAGCTCTGCCTACGGTATTCCCCTAAGCAAAACTTGCTGTTGCTCCCCTTGGAGCAACACTGAAATCCATCCATCCAAAAAGGAGAATTCCAGTTCTGACAGAGCTCAGTCTTTTCTCGTCCTTTAAAACATCACAAGAACGCCTGGAAAGCAAAGGCGGGGTCACAGCGAGCCCCAGGCCCTCCTCTCCCTGCCTGCAGCTCCCAGAGCTCAGCCGCATCTCACCTGCAGCCCCCGACCGGGGCCGTTCTCCTCCCCCCCCGCCCCTCCGTGCACACGTGCGTGCCCCGCTCCTACCTGCAGCCCCTGTCGGGGTCCCGCCGGCACCCAAACCCGGCACAGCGCCGAGGGGAGGGAGACCCGTCCCCGGGGACACGGGCTGCTCCGAGGGCTGCGGTGAGGTTGGGGCAGCCCCAGTTCTGGCGTCGGGCACTAGGTGGCATAGACGGGAGGAAATTCCAAAGCAGCCTGCGAACGGGACCGCGCCTTTCATAAGGATGGCTTAAGTTGGAGTGGACCTTAAAGATCGGCCGGCTCCAACCCCCCGCCGTGGGTTGGTTGCCCCATCCGTGGCCTTGGGTACCTTTCAGACGTGAGGCTCCTGGTTCCCGGACGTAACTGCTCGCCAAGCACAGGCTCGCTGCCTCGGCTGGTGGAGCAGCTCGACAAAGAGGGGATGAAATCACCCCTAGGGATCAACTGCCCTGTTTTACTGTCAGACTGCACTTCAGTCATCAGCAGGCTCGTGCACACCAGCAGCCCCAGGGAGGCAGAGATGCCGAGGGCCAGCAGTCCCTATTGGGTTCAAGGAGAGACCCCAGTACCTCTCCCTTGCCCTGTGCCACAACCATGCAGAGGATGAGGGCACTCGGCCACCTCTCTCTCAAGCACCATCCCGAGGCGAGCCCCCCCTAAAGCTCTTCTCCCTCTCACCTCCCTCCTTTTAGGACTGCTTGCAGTCCCTTGGAGATCTCCCTAACCTCATCCACTCGGCCCTTTAAGGCGTGGATGAAATTCCTCACCGGTGAACTGCACGGACCGACGCGATGAGGCAAAGCCATGCAGAACTGCTACAGTCAGCACAGGAGAGGCCAAAGAGGAAGAAGAAGGAAGGGGAGGGTGGAAGGTTGTCTGCCGGCCTCTGCTGTTCCAACAACAGAAACTCATTTGGCTTCAAAGGTTAATGCAGCGAATGCATCTGGTGAGGCTCATGGGCTCTGACAGCCCGTCTGAAAGGCTCCATCTGCAGCTCGGCAGGAGGGATGGCTGCAAGGAGGGCACTGGGGGAGCAGCGTGCTGTGTGCACAAGAAGTGGCACAGGTGGGCACTATCTGAACCTGACAGAGCCCAAAGGGGCTGAGCAGCGCTGTGGTGCTAACTGCACATACAAGGAGGGGAAACCTGTTTGCTGGAGGGAGCAGGGATGTGCTGTAGCCTCCTGGAAAGGCTCAAGCTGAGCAGTCGGGAATACCTGAGGATCTTTCTGCCATGGACAGAGGTCTCTGGACAATCTGAAAGCCTAAGGCAGAGGTAGGGTACACACCACCAACACCAGGTCCTGTGCTCCCCTGGGGGCTATGGTTGCTCTCAGTGATTTAGCAGCATGCTAAGATGTTCAGAATCAATATAAGCTGTGTGCTTGGCAGTTTCAAATGCCAAAAGCAGCTTAGCAGCACCAAGCGCTGCCTTCAGCCGCCCCTCTATAGCTTTAAGATGGTTTAATTCTTTTATGGAACCGTAACTCCAGAAATTGCTGCCGTCCCTTTTAAGGCAGGGATTTAAAAAGCTCTTTAGAAATATTTTTGTGAGAGACAACACATCAAATGGGATCCCAGTGGGACACGCTACAAGATCAGATGTCTCTGATGCTGAAAATGCAAGAAGCCCACGGCACAATCTGGGTCTGTGAATTTCCTCCACTGCTCCTGCTGAGCCCAGCAATGCTCCACCCCTCCCAGCACCCAACCTCACACTGCAGCCTCATCTAATCACGGCAAAACCCATCTAAGTAATATGAATGCAGAGTATTGCTGGCATGGGGAGAAGCAGAAACCCCCCACGTACCTCAGATATCTCATTGATTCCTTGTGAAAGCAGTGGAAGTTCAGAATTCTCCCGTGAAAAGAAGTCAGGTTAATACCATGCACCACTGGGGAGGACTTGTGACCTCTCTGCATGCAGCACAGCTGCCCAGCACACCTGTGAGCACAACGTCATGGGTCATTAGGGCAGCAACATTCAGCCCAACAGACTTGCCTTAATAGGCTTTGTTAGAACATGATCAATTTGCCATAATGAGCAGACGTCCGTGATTACTTAAGCAGAATTCTGCCACTTCTAAGAGTTGTTCCTGCCTTAGCACCAGGATACTTCAGGGTCTTATGACCCGCTGGGAGAGCCTCAGTGCAAGAAGGAAAAGGCTGAAGAACGAATAGATATTACATAGAAAACTGTTACCACCTCTCCATTAAGCACAATCTCAGTAGTGCCTGTGTGTGTGCAGTTACTGCTGCCAGCACAGGCACTGCAGGGATTCCCCATGAGCACAGTCCCACTGATGCTGTGCCCTTCCTTCCCCTCCCTGCATTCTGCACGTTAAGGGGATTTCTTCCCTAATGTGTGCTGCTGTGGGAGAGTGGAGCTTCTCTGAGTCTGCTCTGCTCAATGGTCTACAAGAGTCTGAGTTATGAACATACATCTCCCTCTCCTGCAGACAGAGTGGGGCAAAACAGCAAGTGCTTCTGCCTCCAAATAGAAGGGAATTAAAGCTGAAGCCTGGAATTGCTCTTTGCAGGTGTCTCCTCAAGACTCAGCTCCCTCTTCTCCAGGAGGTTTGGCTTTGAGAGATGTGCAACAAGCTCAGAGCCACCCCACAAGAAATGACAGCTGAGACGAGCTGCTCTGCAGGCAAGCAAAAGCTGAAGCACAGTGCGAGGCAGCAAACACAGTGCCTGGCAGCACAGCTTCACCACCACCTTAATCCTCTTTCCCTTCTTAAATGCTAAATTAATCAATTACATTCCCAGCCCAGTCAGAAATGCAGCTTTCATCTTATACAAGGCAAACATAATTAGGATTGTCATTCGGATCCCGCTCGAGCAGCATACAGATGAGAGCAGCCCCAGCACATGGGTGTGTGCAGTGCAGTCCTCCCTGGCAGCAGCTGGGATTGCAGCCCCACTGCCAGGCAGGGCTTCCTGCTCTGAGCCACAGGAGCCCAAGAAACAGACACGGCAGAGATTTATCATTAGAGATGGGGTGGGGAAATGGATGGAGAAAAATAGCTTGCTGTCTCTTCCATGTTTTTTAGTTACAGAGCAGCAAAGAAAAGCAGCGAGTGACAGATTCAGAACAAATATTTCTGCATACAACACAGTCTGGTGCTGGAACACACTGCTGTAAGGTGTGTGCTTGCTTCTGTTCAGAAAAGGTTTAGGAAAGCAGAAAGGGCAAAGGGTAATTAAAAGCAGATGTTCCCATCTCCTGGTATGCAGTCAGAACAATAGTCAGGGAAACAGCAACCTGCACCCCTCCTGTCATCTTCTCTCCAGGCTCCGCCAACAGCCCTTGCTAATACAGGCTCTTCATGGAGAGAGACCATGGGCTGACCCAGAGCCATCACTCTTCTGCTCCTGGCATGGACCTGAGCTCTGCTTGCCTGTCCCAGAGGCCCTGGAGCAGAACATCCCCATTACAGGACATCAGCACAATGGCAGGCAGATGTGTCTGAGGCACAGAACGTGAGCGAATAGAGAGAAGATCTCTGCTTGCTCTGTATTTTTCCCATTCCAATCTTAATAGACACTTCTTAGGAGAACTCTAACAGCCACACTGTGCCCAGCTCAGCTGCAGTCAGCAGTCCCATATGTACCTGTGTTTGGTTTGGAGCCAGGCAATGCCCTGATGAGAGGTGCAAGTGTCCCTAGTGGGACAGAATGCGGGAAGAAACCAAGCCCAGCACTGTTGTGTTTCTCATTAGCTCCTATTATTCACATACCACTTTTAAACCACGCAGACAGGAGGAGACACACAAAGCCATTCTGCAATGAGCTGATCCCTTGGCTACAAACCTGCTGTTCCTCCTCCCAGCAGCATGGAGCTCAGGCAGCTCGTTCTGCTGCTGCACAGCCCCATCACCATCAGCCTGCCAGGGGTTGTCTTCTCCTATCCATCACCATCAGCCTTAACACTGCACCTTACAGCGATTTTCTCCTGACCCAGCCCCTCTTGGGCCTCTCCAACCAGACCCTGCAGCCCTTACTCAGCAGCTCTCCCTCCAAATGGGATCAGCCCAAGTCAGCTTCAGCAGTACCTCAGCATCTGCTGATGCCAGTTTCTCTCCAGCAGGTGCTTGGGTAGGGAGGGATGAACAGAGACAGTCAGAGCTTTTCTCTGATCAAAAATTGAGTAAAAGTACGATAAAGGCCCTCATGTTTCACCTGCTGTGCTTGGGGACATGCATAAACATGGGGCAAAGCTGATGCATTGGCCACACTGCTCTGAGGGCAGCCCCATCCCATCTCTCTGCTCAAACCAGCAGAGCACAAAGGAGGCATCATTTGAGGCTCTGAGAAGGAAAGCAAACTTTGCTCTGTACAGCAAAAAGCCACAGCCATTCTCATCCCCCAGAATGAGGACCCAGCACCTGCAGGAACAGATATTCCTGCAGAGGTGGTTCTGTCTCAACCCAAGGCTGCTCCTACAGCCACAGCCACCAACACCAGGCTCCGTGTGCTGCGGGCATCCAACAGCGATCCTAAGCATAGAGAAAGCTCACAGCTCCAGCAACGGGAAGTCAGGCTGAGCTGCTGGTTATACTGGGAGCATGACTCGGCTGCCTGCAAAGTCTCAGCTCTAGAATCCAACCTTTGCTTTCTCAACGTCCCGTTGGATCGCAGCGGTTCGGTCTGGGGACGTGCTGAAGTTTGTCGTGCGGGAGACAGAGGCGACGAGGAAAACATTCCTGCCCACAGCGGGTGGGGAAGGGGACAGAATTATGCTATCTGCTGCCAGTGGGCAAAAGCAGTCTCCTCTGCTCCAGCACCAGAGCGACAGAAAACGGCTGCCCACAGCCCAGATGCGCATTCGGAAGCACCGCCCGTCTCTCGCAGCGTTCCAAGAGTTGGCCCAGGGTCAAAGCTCCCCCGAGCTCCTGGATGCAGGGAGGGATGCGGACAGGGATCCGCTCCTCTCTTTGTCTTCCGCAGCGAGGATCCCCTCGGCAGAACACACCCTGAGAAGGGAGGAGCGGCCTCCGAGAGGAGGTGGGGGCCGGCGGTGCGCGATACCCCCGAACGCGGCAGCCGGGGGGGGAAAACGGGGAGGAGCCATTCGGGCGGGGCAGCGCCGACCCCCGCCCGCCCCTCGCGGCGCCTTCCCCGGTTCGGAGCTCGGAGCCCTCCCGGCCCGGAACGGCGCGGCCATGGGCTCCCGGTTGAGCCGGCAGAGCAGCCTGGAGGATGAGAGCTCCGGGGCCGAGGAACCCTCCGGTCGTGCCGACTTCCACCTCTCTTCGTTGTTGCTAAATCCGCAGAAGCTGCCCGGGGTGCTGCGGAAAGCCTCTCCCGCTCCCTACGTGCGGAGGGTGGGGTGGCTGCGGGAGATTCAGGCCACCATCCGAGAACACAAGCGGGAGCACGCCGTGCACATCCTCAGGCTGCTCAGGAAGGTAAAAGCCGCGGGCGGGGCGGGCAGACCTCCGGGCAACAAAGGGGTCGGGGCGGTGCGGGGCCGGGCCCGGCTCTTTGTGCCGCCGTTCGGGCTGGGGACACCGCCCGTAGTTCGCTGCCACCTCCCCCGTCCCCGCCCGGGGATTGAGGCTGTGAGGAGGGGAGCACGGCGGGCAGGTAAAGCGGTACCCGAGCCGTCCCAACCCGCAGCCCTCCGCGTCAGCTCCCGGTGCGTTCGGGAGCGCTGCTCCCCAGGGAAAAGCCACCTCCCGCAGCCCGGCTGGAGGGGAGAGGGATCGGTGTTTCGAGGGAGCAGGGCTCTGTATGCCGCTATGCAGGCATAGAAGAGCCCCACCGCACGGACAGCACGCTGCCAAAGGGATGCAGAGCCCCATTGCTGGAGCAGAGCATCTCCATCGCTCTGTCACTTTCCAGGCAAACTCACCTCCCCGAACTGCAGGCAGCTCTGAAATAAACAGCACAGGGGACAAATGCTCCCTCTGATTTGGCACAGAACACTGCCAGTTCTCAGCTTATCGTGTCCCTTCATTAGATGATGACCCACTCCATCGTGGGAATGCACCCAGTTGCTTCTATAGCAGCCAGCAGCCTTTGGGTGTGAGCTTTGGAGCAGGGCTGGGCTCTCAGGGATGCTGTACAGCTGCAGTAATGCCTGCTCTGAGTCTCAGGCTCTGCAGCATGCCTCAGGATGACCAATGCCCCCAGCTACTGGTGAGCTGCACTTTTTGGAATAAGAAATTATGGGAATTAAAATTCCCTCTCTGCTTTTCATGCCCACTGCCTTAGAGTTCACGTGAGGAGCGTTGCCAGCCCTGCAGACAGCCCTCTTGCCATGCATGCACATAGATAACCCTCAGCAAAAAGCCTGTGTATGGCAGACAAGGGCTGAGTAAGATCTCAAAGGCATTTAGGAGAAGAGTTATTACAAGAAGTCAGTGGTTGCCTCTTCTTCTTCACAGCTGTGGCAGTCTAACATGAACCGACTTCCATAGGGTTTGCCAGAGGCCAGAACCTCAAAATGTCATTTTCTGTAGCGCTCAGCACCTCTCCTTCAGGCTGAAACACTAAAATCTTTCCCAGACCTCGAGGTCTCCACAAGCCCCATCTGTGAGCAGTGGGGTTTGGATGCTGAGTCACAGAGCCATGGAGGGTCATTGCTGAGCCCTCCTTCCCACACAGCCTGCCAGTGTCTTTCAGGCTCAGCCCTGCACTCAGAATTACCACATGCTGAGCGCTCCTCTTCTGCCCCCTGCCCTCTCACTTCCCCTTGTCCCCATCTCTGTCTGTCCATCTTAAGACAGTGACCCTCTGTTCATCTGCTGACAACACCACAGCGGGACACACATCCTGTAGTCCCAATACAGCCTTTCTCCATAAAATGAGATGGGAACCCATCCAGCACCCCCACAATGCCTCCGGTTCTTTGTGTACTTGAAGGCTGCTAATGTGCGTGGCACCTTCCAATGGCTGAACACAGCTGTCAGCCATGCTGGGGGCAGATAATCACAACCAGTTCTCACGTGTCCAATGCTTCAAAGCACCACGATCAGCATCTTTCATTATTCACAACATTACATCACTCTTCAGCTAAGCTCAGCCCTTAGCTTGGTCCCCAGCATGTCCCTCCTCACACAGACTGCTTACCTGAGCAGCAATGCTCTCACAAGTTGCTGGTTAACGCATCCCAGACAAGGGTCTGTTTGTTATCTGTAACAAGAGAGAGAGACCTCCTTCACTCCAGTGGGCACTGAGGATATTTAACACCATACCTTATCACTGAGCCTCAGACTGACAGCATTTGCACTCCCTCCCCCAGAGATGGCAGAGCAACACCAGAGCCAGAACTGCAAACCCTGTGAATGGGGGGATGCACTCAGGCACACCAGGGCTCCTGGGAGTGCCTCCTGCCATTGCCAGACCTCACCTAGACCCATAGATCCACCCTGCACTCTGTCGCTGTATCCACCAGCACTTCTCAGCTCGTGGCCTGCAGGCCCCAAGAGGTGGTGGATTGCTCCCAGGATATCAGGAAGGTGTAATTAAATAAAGGGAGAAGCTGCAAGCAGATCTACTGAACAGGGATGCGAGATTCTGGCAGCATGCTGAGAACAACTGCAAGCAGGAGGAATACACTCATGCACGCTTGCTCTGCAAAGCAGCACTCTGATGCTCCACTGCACGTGTCCATATCAACCTGAGAAATACTCACCTGCCAGAGAAAGACCCGTTTCTGCTGGTGAGTGGGCATCGCTCTGCTGGAGGCATCAGACTAACAGCAGTAAAAAGTACAACTAGATTTCCCTGTGCTGAGACATCAGCAACCAAGTGTCCAATAAGAGCACTGTGCCAACAGAATGGCCCGGATCCATAACACTCACTGCTCACCACAGTGCCCGGGTGGGCAGTACTGCATTTTCCAAAGAAAAGAGAAGGACAGGAAAAAGAAAAGGAGGCAGTAAGGGAAGAATACAACTAAGAACTAGAAAATGCCCTGTGCTCAGAATTTATAGATTATCAACGCAAAGTGAATATTTCTATCTATATTACTGATAAAACCCTTGAAGGCAAACTTATAATGGGAATGCAGATCCAACTTAACAGCACAGCTCCAACTGGGGGAGTGTAATTACCAGTCTGACATCCACTGCTGCAGGCTCAGCCATGCCATCCTCTTGGCAGCTTCCCTCATCTATCTGTGCTACACTGTGTGGGAGGCTCCATTTCCCCAAAGCCTTACGGTTAAGGGAGATGTTGGCACGATGCCTTGGCCCATATCCAGCTGCCTCTGTCCTTCAGGATTCACCCACTGCTCCAGCTCCTTGGTTCCTTGTGCTGTGCACGCGGTGGTGGGGCTGTAAAGCATTTGATTTATTCTTGCTTTTTTCTCCATCACATCTGTAGCCAGGATCTTTGTCTCCATTCTGCTATCCGCTCAATTTGATCTGAGCATACACAGAGCAGGGAGAGTGGCTACAGCAGCAGCTTTGCTTGCTGCTTGGGGTTAAGATCCAGCACCTCTTGCCAATGACGGCTCTGTCCCTGCTGGTTCTGCATGCACACACTCCCAGCTTTCTCTCTAAGAGTTCTCAGTGCATCTTTCCCTGAGTGGTGCCTGAAGCACACTTTCAGTGGAGCAGTGCGAACATATGGGGCACTCATTTGCTTATTCATTTCTCCTGGCAGCAGCATGCAGAATGGGCAAAGGACTCATTTCCTCCCTCAGCTGAGCCCTCCTCAACAACTGAATCCAACTCAGCACCATCCCAGTTACATCCCAGCCTTCTTGTTCTACTTTTTTTGTTGCTGGGGTATTTTTCTGTCCTCAGAGTATTGCCAAGTGAGTATCCATGATCCTTCTTCCCAAGATGCTCAGCTTTATGCCTGTTTTTTTTTGTTTGTTTGTTTGTTTTTATAGGACCTGGGACTGGAAGGAACATTCCTCAATGAAGTCCTCTACAAAAATGCAACCTTCCTCAACTTGGTGGATCCCATCTCCCATGACCTGCTGATGAGCCTTGCTAGAGACCTACAGTGTCCCAAAAAGGTGAATCCTCCCCTTTAGCTCAGTGGACACTTTACAGCGTGGCACTGATGCAGAAAGAGCTCAGATGAGGAGGTGGATCAAGCTGGGTGGTTCTCCAGAACCAGCCAGCATGCATCCTTGGAGCAGTAGAGCATGCAAGGACGTGCACATATCTGTAGAAATCAGTTAGAAGAACTTTGGAACACGATTGCAGTTGGGGGAGAGAGAGGTTATGGGCACAAAAGTCAGGGAATTACTCATGTTGCCAACAAAAGACTTGGTTGTAAGGACATGTGCCAGATAAAAATATATGATGGGGAAGGCAGTGTTGCCATATACAATGGCACACCCCCACAAGCTAGCCATTGGGAAGAGGTGTTTATGGAGGTACAGAGATCCCCACACTTCTGCCCAAGCTGGTGACTCTGGGAGAAGGACAAGAACCCCTCTCTAAGGCTTTATCACATGATAAAGATCCCTGAGAGCCCTAACACAGCACTACATCCCACAGCAACACCAGCACCTACAGCTGTTACCCTTTACCACCACAAGCACCATCCGTTCACTCATCGGGCTCAGCAGATGTCATGTTTGCTTTATAGAGAGGGCAACAGAGTGAACTTATGCAAAGATAGCTATTAAGCACACGCAGCTCAGAGCAGGCAATGGTGCCCTGGGGAGTATGTTGAGAGCCTGGTGCAAATTAGCAGCATTCTAATCCTCATTGCAGCTGTAAGACAGCCTGAAAAATCTTTTCAAGGGTAATTATTATCCAAATATAAGCATCTAAAACTACCTCCTAACCAAATCTTGCTCATCTCATTGAGCAGTGAAAGTGACACAAGGGGACATTGCCCTGCCCAGCAGACAACACACTGATTTTTGTGCACCTGCATACATCCCTCTCCTCTACTTCCATGTCTTACATGCACATGTGCTTAAGTGAAATGCCATGTCTGCCATTGTGTAGATAAGATCTACCCCACAGGAGATGATTTAGGGGGGAGTGGAAAGCCCCAGCACCCCACATCCCTCCCTCTGACCCCAGCTGAGCACCCAGCAGTTGCAACAGCCTTACATGCAAAAGGCTGAGCATGATGTAATTCCAGCAGAGAACTACATCAGCGAGGACACGGAGGGAACAGGAGGGTAATTCTCAACTGTGAGCCAGCAAACACTCACAGGGCACTGTGCCAACATCTGTCATGAAGCCTGGTGTTCACCTGCTGTTGTAGGTGGCATCAGGCTGCTAGCACCCACTTTGCCAGTGCAGCAGCAGTCTGGGACAGGGCACCTAATGCCAGTCCCTTGGGCTCCCCAAGTGAACTGGGGTGGATCAAGAAATGCTCTCTTGAGCACAGGCTGGGATTTCTCCTGATTTGGCACAAAAAAAGCAGCCACGTGCTGGCAGTGCATCCTGGGGATGCTCAGCTGATTCAGGGACTGCTTAGAAGAGTCACCATACAGCTGTTGGCCCACAGTACAGCACTTTAACTGCTTGCAATAAGGAAGTTAGGGTACGTTCTGACAGCTTTACTATGTGTTTACCTATCAAATCCCTAAATGCACATGTTGCACTGTGGCTGGAGGGCTGAGGAATAGGAATGCAGGTGTCTGTATGACAGAGGAGGCAGAAATCCCAACCTCTAGCAGCTGCCATTTGTCATTCTGCTTCACCAGGAGAAGAGAGATGCTTTCAAAGTCACAGAGATGGAGAATGCATGCAAAAAGAAACTCAGGAGAGCTGCAGCCACCTCGGTGCTGCTGAGTTAGTTGTTGCAAGGGCTGGAGGGAACTGCTGTTGTTGGGAAGCTCCCAAACTCAGACCTCCAGGAGAAAAGCAAACTGCAAAGAAGCAAGGTGCAGTGCTGGGACCTGGCTTCTTTGTTCCAGCATCTCCTAGCTGAGCACAGGAAGGAAGAAGAGTCCAGGTTTGCAGCCCTACTCCCCTCTCAAGGCAGGAAAATGCTGGGCTGGGATTCTTCCTGACACCCCAGAAGTGCATGCTGTGTTGCAGAGACATCTCCAACCTTTCAGCCATTCCTTTTTCATCCTCTTTTCCATCTTTTCTCGTATACAGTCCTACACTTCACTATCACCCAGTCCCTTTCCCACCTCCCACCCTTTTCCTCCTGTTCTGCAGCAGCACACAGAGCCTAAACTATCCCTTTGCTTGCAGGAATACGACCCCTGGAAGTCTTCAGACAGGATTTGCAGGCAGCTGATCTACCACCTGACCCCACACTCCAAATGGCACCGGCATGGCATGCCCCGCAGGAAGTCCCAGATGTGGTAAGTTCCTCAGTCTCTCTCAAGTGCATCAAAATCAGTCCTGCTGCCACAGTGCTAAGGCAGCAGAGACAGCAGTACTTGCGAGGTATGCAGCCCCACAAGCACTGTAAGCTGGCAGCCCTGCAGACACACATCCCGGACACAGCTGCAGGGTATTGAATAAAGCAGAATAATTTGAATTAAATATGTAACAGCAGCACTTTCTTGCTGAAAAACAGGAGAAGAACCGGTTTATGGTTTGTGGCAAAAGGCACCTGTAGAGTTGGCATCTTTGGCTGCTGCTGGTAACAAAAGTAAGGAACTGGTGTTTCACTTGGAGATATCAGGGCTGTATTCTGTCCAGCCAGGCTGTTTTTAACTGATCTGTATTCTCTGCTTCCTGCCATCTGCTATAGAGCATTTCACTCTGACCTCTGTCTGAACTCCTGCCCTTGCCTTGTACCTTTCTGCCTTCAAGGTCCTGTAAGAAGTACATGGATAGCAGCAAGACTTCTGAAGGCATTTCTAATCTCCAGTGGAAATCTGGGATTGTTCAGAAAACACATTCCCTTGCCTCTGTGATCCTCTGGGCTTGGGCTTTCATGGATCTGATACAGAACCCAACTCATCCCTTCTGAAATGCAATTTCCACTTTCTGGCAATGTGCCAAATGGGTCCAGAGGATAATTAGCAAGTTCAGCCACACAGACAACAGGGAGCATCTGCCAGGTTTTAATTACAATCGGGCTGCTACAGAGATGTGGTTTGGGAGATGGAAAGGACACACTGTACTCAAGCAGTAACCAACAAGTAACAAACTTGTAGGGTAGAAACTAACTCTAAGTCACATCCCCATCCACTCCCAGTTGTTGTAAGTACAAACCTGAGCTACCCATGAATTGATGAAGTAGAAAGAATGAGATAAATGTCTTCAAGCACTCCTGTTTCAATACAGAATGATCCCAGGATAACTGGAACTGCAAAGGCTGCTAAGGACCAATCACATTTCCATCATGCAGGAACAGTCTTATTTTAGACACACATTGAGCCCAACCAGATCCCTCAGAGACTGTTAGCAAAACACCCTGTGAGAACTTTCAGACAAGCACATCTTTCTTTTCTTAACCACTCCCCGACTAAAGCCATAGGTCCTACCTGCTTCTGTTACCACCTTTAACACTGATGCTTTTAACCAGGGGCTGTGACCACAGTAAAGGTGCAATGAATCTCATAGGGAGAGGACACAACAGAATTGAATCACAGAATCACAGAATTGAGCACAGGTTGCTCTGTCCTCAGTGCCTTCCCTGCAGAGCCATTCCTCTAAAGTGACTGTAATACAGGCCCTGGCCCTGCTTCTAGAAGCAAAATCAGGCTGCCACAAATTGCCATCAGAGCAGCTTTTACCAGATGAACACCCCAGGCCAGAAACAGAATCCACAGAGAAACATGGAAGAAGAAATCTTACAGCAGCAGATTGAATGCAACAGCAGCTGAAGTAAGGAGGGAAGATCCAGCCCAGGCTGTCTCTGGTTTCTCTGATTAAATTGTCACAGATGATGCTGGAAGACAGATCCCCTCCTGCATCTGAACTAGTGGGTTCTTGACAGGTTAGCAGTGTCTCAGCTGTTCATGCACCCAAAGAGACTATTTCAGCTGCTTAGGTGATAATCAGGTTTGCTACACTGAAAACAAAGGGCTCCATTCTCCTTTCCTGACATATCTGTCTCGAGTCTGTAGCTCCCAGCTGACATCCTGTGTCTCACCTGATGGTGCTGCTTGGGCAGGCTGCCTGAGCAAACACCAAGGCTGAGCTCTTGAGGAATTTATTGGGGGTTTTCAGGTAAGAAGCCTACAAACGGGAGGATAACTTTCCCTCAGCAAGGACCAGCACGACATTACTACACAGTTGTCAGCCTCTTGCATCCTAATGGGACTTCAGTTACAGCACTGCTTTACAGTTATATAGTTCAGCTCATTAAAGATGACTAATCACATTCCAGGGTGCTGTACAACTCCAGCTTCTCTTCCATAAACTGATGTTTACAACGTAAAGAGAAACAGGTTAAGTCTTCTCAATGTGGACATTGGGTTATTTAGACTATCAAGAACCCTTTTGCAATGTTTTGACAGATGTAGATTTTTGAGACACAGCTGTTTTTGTCAAATCTCAAAGCTCCTGTAGCTCAGCACTGCAGGACTGTATGTTATCCTTCAGAAGAGGGCTGGACCCAGAGTGTATTTTACTTTTCAAGGGCAAAGCCAGATTAGACTGCAGTTCAGAGTGGAAGGGGTATCAGTTCAATGCAGCCTTTGTCTGAAGGGCTGCACTGTAGTCTAGTACTGCCATTAAGAAGCTATAGATGATGACTGAACTGTTTTGGCACAGCTGGGTTGGGGAGCCTTGCACATCTACTAGCATTGCACTCAGAGCTGGCTGCTCAGTGCCTCTCTTCAGTGCAAGGGATCCAACCTGAACCCATAAAACATGCAGGCAGAAAACAGAGCAATCTTTACAAGCAGGGTGTTTCTGATGCAGAAAAAATAGCCCCAGTTTCCCACCCAGTAACCTGTTCTGGAAGAATAAAGGCGTTTGTGCAGATGGAGTTAGTTACTCTTGGTTGCATACATCCAGGTTTCCTTTTTCCACAGATCACACTATGGGTGATGAACTAACATTTGCCTGAGTGAATTGCATTTTGTAACATCTTGGCTAATCTAAAGCTGGGTGGGGAACCGAGTGTTCCTTCTGGGCTCATTGCTCCATTTCTCATTTATTGATGTGCACTGCCCAGACACTGCAGCATTAGATGCACTTTAAAAATGCAATGAAAGCACTTGTGTCTAGAAGACTGCAGGGAAGCATCTCTAAAGGGCTTCGGGTCTTTTTATTTCTTCTTGAGAACATCAGTCAGGGCAATAGATGACAGCTCTGGCAGATTAGATCTTAGCCTTCACACGGCATGAGATGAATATTAAGTAGAGCTCCCATTTCTCCTTTATGCAACAGAGGAAATGTTCACCATCATTCTGCTTTTGAGTTAGGAAGCCAAGTTAGAGAATACCAGTCAGTTAACTAAAGCCACATGGTAAGAATCAGATGCAAGTACAAGAACAGCTGGGACTGGGTTTGTTTAACTTAGTGCTCTTGAGGCTTCTCTCATCTCACCAGAAGCAGCTGAAGCCAGACTTTCAAAGCAGCACCCTGGCCCACAAGGAAGCAAAGGCAAGCAGATTATGCTAAGTAGGCAATTAAAAAGCCCGGAGCTCATCCCCTAAGTCGCTGGCAGAGGAGCCATCCAGACATGCCTGCCATTAGGCTCCATGCAAGGAGGAACAGCAAAGAAACACTCGACTCGTGGTTAATTAGCCACCTCTGGCAGTGCCTGTTAATGAAGGAGGGAATGCACAGCGCTGGGAGCACCAAGAAAACTTTGAGCATAAAGTTTTGGAGGCAAATTAAAGAAAAATAAGAGGCATAGAGGGAGAAAGCTGGTAACTCCCCAGTGATACAGACAGGGACTAACAGGCATCCTTCATTACTGAAATCTTATTTGGCTCTTACCACTTCCTCCCAGTCTCTGCTTCCCCTAGTGTGAAGACAGGGCAAAGACACTCCATTTCCAGGATGCTGAACAAACTCCTTCAAGACCTACAACACAACAGGATGCCAAGCACCACTGGATCTGCTGCAAGTCTCACCAGAGCAACAAGAAGGAGCTATCACAGCCACTAAAGAGCTTAACTGATGAGGAAGAAGTTGAATGGCACTGATCTCTTAGGGATGGCAGGCACTGTTCCTCACTGCATGCTGCACACAGCTCCGTGCAGGCTGTGGGGTCAGGCTGCAGATCACCTTGCTTCTTGCTCACATTGCACTCTCACTTGAAGCTGATCCTCCAGCATCCCAGAGAACGTTTCCCCTCTAAACTTACTGCAGAGAATACAAACACCATCTGCTTCCCTGCATCCAGGGTCTAGATCCTTGCTGGTTGCAAACCCTGACAATTATAGATGTGCATGCAGCACCAGCTGCAGCAGCACAAGGCTAATCCAGCCTCCAGCACTTCGCAGCCCTCCACCTACAAATCCCACAGGCATCCAGAGCCATGTCACTAAATAGCTGTTTTGTCTCACACAAAGAAAAAAGCACCTTCAATTGAAGCTATCCTTTAAGCCTATTTTACTTGCAGAAATTAGAGGATATTAGATGATCCCCTCCCCTAGAAATAAGCCTGGCATTTTATCAGAAATATCTTCTTGCTCCTCTCGTGGTCCACAGAGGGGTGGCCCAGGTCACATAAAGAGCAGACATAAGGCTGTTTGAAACCTTTAGGTCTGAATGCAAGTTATTCTACACTGCTACAGCTTTCTGCCATGAGAACTCATTAAATACATTAGATACAGCCTCAGCCTCGCACAGTGAATTCCCTCCAGAAGCACAAGGATGTATAGAAAAAGCCAGAACAAAGCACTGCCGAACCCAGAGAGCAGGAATTCGTGGGCTGTAGAACAGACAGGGCAGCCCATGAGGTCATTTCCTTTTCATGCTCCTTCATGGGACTGCAGCAGTGCACACAGTGTCAACAGATGCACTAATGCATAGTTATTCATTTGTGTTATCACATATTCAGAGAGATTAGGTGCTGATGTTTCTGAAATACCACAAACTGTATACAAAGAAGAGCATTAAGGGCAGCATCCTATCCTCCCCACAATGGCAAAAGGGCCTGGAAACACTGAAGTTTGCAGAGGCATTCTCACCTGCCACAGCAGCTCCTGTGGTGCTCCAGCCTTCTCCAAGGAAACTGCACATCCCTGTGTGCCCGTCGCTCCCAGGGACTGGCTGTGCTGCAGCTGTGCAGGACACTACAGGCAGCCAGATAGGAAGAATGGGCATCTTCATAGTGGTGGTTAGTTCTTACCCCAACCTGTTCCAACCCCAACAAGGCACTTCTACACCCACTGAGCATATGAGTAAGTGGAGATCCTAGTAGAGCTCCAATATCCTTAAAGCTAGCTGCATCTGTAAGGACAGCAAGGCTAATATCATTTATGTTAAGGCAGTAAGCTCTCACATTACACCAACACACACTTCCACTCAATCCCACAACACAGCCTCATCACCTCCCACAGCTTCCACTTCTCACAGCACTCCCACAGACCTACAATCCACCTCAGAACTCCACGTCCCACTCATTTTGAAACCCTGTAGCACAGCTTTGCTTACCCTGCAGCCTTCCTCCTCCTTGCTCCGCTCCCCTGGCAAACAACGAGAGCTACAGGTGAAAGCAGATCTCTCTAGATTGCTCTCAGCACCCTGCTGCCCTGCCCACCTCCTCACAGCTGCAGCACATCCCCAGTGATTTGCTGACCACCAAGATCCAAACCAGCAGCTACAGGTGAGGGATGCTGGGGAAGGCTCTTAAAGGGACGTGGTAAATCCATTCCTGGAATGCTGTTTGCTCACAGATTGTTTTTCCTGACAAAATATCAATTTCTCAGCCTTTTAACACCGGTCTACTGCAGCATGATTTGTTTGCAACAGACCACAGCATTCACCTGGAGAGGTGGTGAAAAACAGCTCAGACACATTGCAAACCAGCGCATATGGAAGCTTTGCTTGCCATGTGTATTTCTGCTGTCCATGCATGAACACCTGTATGTACACATCCAGGCAAACCCTCTGAAATGTACTAGTGAAAGAATTCAGAGTGATACGGTTTGCCAGTTCTTGAGGAGTTTAAGTGCAGAGAAGACACAGGAAAGCCCCAGCACACAACCTGCCCAGAGGCATGGTGCAAACTTCACGCCTGTTAACAAACCAAGCTCCACTTTCTGTTTGCAGAACGTTCTTAACAAGCCCTTCCCTGCTCTGTGTGTGTCATTCCTCTCTCTCTCTCTTTCCACCCCCAGCCTGAAGAACAGCCTGCAGAAGAAGGTGAGCCAGGGCTCCATGGATCTGTCCGGGATCCCTCTGACCATGCGGGATGTGCACCGCATGGCTTATTACCTTCAGAACAACGGGGACCACCTCACCTCCGTGGACCTGAGTTTCACCGAGCTGAACGACGACATGGTGCGCCTGCTGCTGCCCTTCCTCTGGGTGCTGCCCAAGCTCACCCACCTTTCCCTCAACGGCAACCGACTGACGCGAGCGACCATGAAGGAGCTGACTGACACCATGAAGGACATGAACAAGTTCCCTTGCCTGGCTTGGGTAGACCTCGGCAACAACGTGGATGTCTCGTCCATGCCTCAGCCTTTGCTCGTGGGCCTGCGCAAGCGCCTCAGCCAGCAGACCACGCTGCCAACCATTTATGAGGCTCTCGATTGTGACCCAGAGATCCCCAGTGGGCAGGAGGGCGGCCGGCTGGAGGATGAGGAAGCGGGGAGCACCCCACGGCACGCTGTCCCTCAGCAGGGCTGTGAGAGGTGACTGGACAACGAGCTGGCTCTGGCACACTGAAGCCACCCTAAGGAGCAGTTCTGAGTCCAAACACCAAGCAGAGGGCCAGCTTGACCGGCTTCCTTCGGCACTTTTCTCTCACCTTCCCTGACATCTCCCCCCAGTTTGCTGTGAGACAAAGCCTGTTGTTCCCCAAAATGTGCTCTGCTCCCTCCCCTCGCTGCCAAACCCATCGCCCACGTTACAGAGAGGAACTTACAGCAAAGCTGGTCCCCAGGCTGGGCTTTTGACTGGAAGACCTGTCGGAGTCAACCATTTCTTCCAGCAGCCATTGGGTTGAGGGAAAGTGATGGGGGGGAAACCTAAAACAGAAACAGGCTTGTAGTTTACTTCCTTTCCTTCTTTTCCTAGGCACCTTGGAAAGCTTGGGACCTGCAGTCTTGAGTGTGAAAGGAGGTACCCCAAGAGCCTAGCTGTTGTGGAGCTTCGTTGAAGGGCTCAGAGGCCAAAGCTGGAGCCCGGCAGTGTCTCCCTCTTGTGTCTGGCTCTTTTTGTTTTGCTTTTTTTTTTTTTTTCCCCCCATTGTGTGTTTTGTATTAATGTCTGAACAAAGGGACTTGGTCAGAGACCATCAGATTGCATAGGCTGGGGCGGACACATGGCTTGGAACTGCAGCATCAGGATATTTGTTGTGTGACTGGGGTGAGAGGGAGGGGAAGGAGGTATGTGTTGGTGGGAGCATGGGGGATGGGATGAGATGACATGGGGTGGGAAGGCCAGGGATTGAAAAGGAAGGGGAAAATAGTCTTGTGGTTTAAAAGGACTGGTTCAAAAACTGTGGTTTTGTACACGACTTACAAGTTTCAAGTGAAATTAAGGAGCATCAGACAGCTAAGTGCTTTACTGACACTAGAGGAGCAAGCAGTGAATGTGCCAGAGGTGGGCACTTCCTAAGCTAAAGTGCAAAGCTTTGGCTCCTTATTGCATATTGCATACCTCGTAATACTGACATGATGTGAGCAGCTGCATTGTCATTTCCAATGCTGTCCAAAACCAAACCAGTGATGCAAGATTTCGAGTGTTTTCCACATTGCTCACGTTCTGTGTAAACTCAATAAACAGTTCTCTTGGACATGAGTGTAAAGCACCATCGGGTCTGAGTATCTGTGTTGTTACCAAGCTGAGCCAGCAGCCCAGTCACTGCAACCTGATTTTTGAAAGAATCTCTCTGGGAGTCTCAACACATAAAAGAAACTCATATCCTGAGCACACAGATCAGTGTGAAACAGACGATTCTTTCACGCTCCTTGTTGACCTCTCAAGGTGTTGCAAGAGCAGATTTGTGATGCTGAGTGATTTATCCCCTTTGGATGAAGAGTGAGGACACTGGATGGTATCAGTATTTCTGATCAGCTGCCAAGAGCCTCATAATAAACTCATAAAGGTTGGAAAAGACTTCTAAGATCATCTAGTCCAGCCATCAGCCCATCCTCACTGTGCCCACTAAAACACATCTCTCAGTACCAAAAGTTAGCCAAGGAAGAAAGATGGCTTTACAGACATTGGGACAAGTATTACAACCTGATATTGCAGGAGTTAGCTGGTCTTAGTTGCCCATCACAATGGAGATGAGAGAGAAAAGGCCCTGAGATAACCAGGACATGGTTGGAATGAGGGTGGGATGCAGTGCTATAACATAGCCAGGCTGTTGTGCAACCAAAGGAGGTAAAGGAGCTTGTGCTCCCTACAGTTCTCACCGCTGGATCTGTGGAGTAATTTCTATGGCAAAGGGCTGTGTTTGGGGGCATGAGATTGTCTTATGGAAGGCAAAAGAGAATTTCTCAAGCAGCTGCTCCCATTACTGGGAAAGGCTCTGCCATTTTCAGAGGTCACCACCGGCCTCTCTTGTTACAACTCAATTTCTCCCTCTCCTTCTGCTATCTCTTTCCTCCCCTGTTGTGGAAAAGATCATATTTAGTTTTTCTTCTTTTCCTTCCAAAATATCCTTCAGCAAAAATGAAAAGCATTTCAAATGGCAGCAGGATCTGCTTAAACCCTTGCAGTCTGAGCAGAGCAGTGGTCTCTGCCAAGAAGAAAACTCGGGCACGAAGCATTCAAATGAAGGCTCAGTGCTGCCTGGTGAGTCAGTGGCAAATCTAGAAAGAGGAAGCGGGGTGCTGAGCATTCCATCTCGGAGCACTGCCTGCAAGGCTCTGTATCGAGGCATCTTCACAGTTTTTCCATCATAGAAGAACCCTTCAGAAACAAGACAGGACCCCCAGCGTGCAGCCCACCACTGACAGCTCTTCTTGCAGAATCCTGGCTCAGCCCCAACCACTTCCAGCCCTGCTGTAAGTAGCCTTTTGGGTCCAAGCCATGCTGATCAGCAGGATGGAGATGTTTCGCCCTTTGCAAGGGAATTCTGTGCTATTGGCAGCTACAGGAGCAAGAGATAAAGCATGGCTTGAAACAGACTGGTTAAACCAAGCAGCTGTGGGACTGGTGCTTATTCCTCCATATGCACTTGGTTGCTTTGCCATAGAAACTTCCCCACGGAGAACTGGCTGTGAATAAATACATGCATATGCAAATGTTGAGGTCTTGGCTTAGGAAGCCAGCAGTGCCTCTTGGATCAGCTCTAATAGCTGTGGACAAATGCTCACAGCACATCCAGCTGTTCCCTGTCAGCTCCCAACGGCACTCACAGGTAGAGGACTCCAAGGAGCACAGCACTGTGCATCCAGCCCCAGAGCTGGGAAACACCCCAGTGCAATGCTACAGGGAGATACAAACCAGAGAGGAGAATGCAACACAAACGAGCCTTTCCTTGCACAGAATGTGAAAGCTCAGGGCACTCAAAGGGGATTAAAGGGATGAGCTGCTGGTACAAGTCTCCTCATTGCTACTTACCCAGAGGGACCAGCTTTGTTGTGCTGCTAAATCAGGGGATGCCTGCCTTGCAGTGAGCTGGATAGCACAGCAGGAGGGACAGACCCCTGCCATACTGAATACTCTCCTCAGCAGTGTAATTGCTGCTGCTGGGCTGTAACTTCAGCTGTGCACCAGGCCAACCTCCATCATTTCACAGGTTAGCAGCCTCCCCTTCTCTCCATGCAGGATGCAAACAGTCAGGAGTTTCCTACCTGGCCCAGCAGCCTCCTGCACAATTCAGGGCCAAGGGAGACGGCCACTTACAGTAAGCAGTCAGCTGGGACTCTGCACAGTATCAGGCAGGCAACTCACAAAGCCCAGCCACAGCTTTGCTCAAACGTGGGGACACTGAGCAGCACCACAGGTAAATAAGGCCACGGGTACCAGATGGCAGAAGAAGAAAGGATAGACCAAAACTTTTCAGGGTCTTAATCAGAAATATACTTGCTCCCTTTTTTCTTAGCTGGTCAACACCTTCCTCACTCCCTTATCCTTTATTTTATACAGCACCGACTTAAAAACACAGAGTAATTACTTTAGAATGCTCCTGGTAGCAAGATGCTCAGCAGAGGGGTCATCACGGGCCTCCTGCCCCCCTGTGACTCCATCCAGTAACTGTAATTGTTTTGTCGAGTTAAGGATGCAAACGCAGCTGGAAGCATGGGCTTGTCTGACCTATTTTTATTTCAAACACTTCAGAATCTGTCAAGGGCTTTCCTTCCCTCACGAACTAAGCTCTTTTTTTTCAGTCTATAATACGTTTCTCATGATAAGTGCTCAGAGAGTAATGGAGTTTGCACTCTTTGGGAAGACTGACAGGCTCCTTAGTGGACAGTTGCTGACAGTGTTACCTAAGTTCACATTGTTTCCTCTTATGAAAGCAAGCAAAAAAGCATTCAGCATTTGCCTTTAGAGACAGATCATTCTGTCTACCACCAGACACTTCCAGCACTTAGTGAGGATTATTCCTCCCAGTCCATTTTTGAGGCAATATGCCCCAGGTTGGATACAACGATGGAAAGCATTTGAAAAGCTGTCTAAACAACTACACAGGCTTCATTCAATCAGCATAACTCCTGTGAAACATGAGGAGTCTCAGTGAGCATGAACGTGGCCACGTTAAAAAAAAAAAAAACAGAAAAAAGCATTTCCCTGTACCAGCAGCAGCTCCATGTCAGACAGCTGAGTGGAGCTTTGTTCTTGCTCCCATGAAGTCTTTTGGTTTGTGGAGCCAAGTTTGGTGTGCATGCCTTTATTTGAACTCTCTCGCAACTGATAAGCTCTTCCTTTATTCTGCAGACCCCCAGGTTCACGCAGCAGAGATAACCCTAAGATTAGCAGGGCCCAGCCCAGGAGCCCTGCCTGGAACTAGCAGATATGGCTAGAGAGGGCAGTAAGTGCTGGTGTCAGAACCAACTGCACATCTTACCAACTTTTTTGGGCAGAAAGTTTTGTTTTTTAAAAGCTACAGTTGAAAGGCAATGAGATGAAGGATACCAAGGAATGATTCTGACATGCCACCAGATCTTCAGAGGCTGGGTCTCCAGCAGCAAGCTACCCTTCTCTGGGTCTCAGCCCTGACTATGTCCATCCCTCATCTCTGATATGGACCATCTGGGGGAGGATTTCCCTGTACCTGTGCAAACCAGGCTCTTATCTGCTGTTCCTGCCATCCCTCACCAAGCAGAAATGAACCCAGGCCTCAAACACACAATTTCTCTCTAAGCACACTGCCCCACTGCAGAGTAAACAGGGTAGGTGTTTTGCCACTTGTTTCAGCATCAGCATAGGGGAAGGGCTGGCTGTGTCTGAAAAAAGAGGCAATGGAAACACTGAAAGCAAAGCAAGAAGTGAGGGCTGCCAGAGCCCTCCCTGTACATAGCCCTAGCCAGAGGCTTCAGCACATCCTGCGACACAAATCTCAGCCTAGGGTTAGGATTAGACTTCATGTATTGGCAGTCAAATTCTGATATGAAAAACTCTAATGAGCTCCCTAGAGCTTCACCCACTTACTCTGTGTCAAATGTGGCTTATTAACTAAAGAAAGTTTGTAGCAAAAAGGCAAAACAAAGAGAGCTCATCCTAACGAATACCCAGAGAAAAGGAGAAAGCAGCATTTCCTCTATGTGCATTCCCCAAACCACAGAGCAGCAGCCAAGCTGTCCTCAAAAGCAAAAGGTGAGGGCTGCAGCCAAGATGATCACACTCCTCCCTGGCTCTGGAGGGGCCTCTGAGGGGCAGCTTTTTACAGTGCTCTTCAAAGAGGTTTGATATTGGCTGATAACTGAGCTCTGTGAAGGAAAAAAAACAAAAAAGCCTGCTGTAGAGCTATTTTAGAGATATTTGAGATGTAGAAAGGAGCTTATTCAATTGTGAAGCAGCAAACAGCAATGCCTTTTTTAGTTACAGAAGAGTCAGAGTCTCCACAGTTCATTTCCATCCCTCAGGTGGATGAAGTCAGAAGAAAAAACACTAAAACAAAAACCTATTCATCTTGCCATCTACTTCAGATTTTAGAGGGCTGCAAAAACATCAGTGAGCAACTTCAAATGCCACCACATGAGTTTATGCATTGTCACATTCTCAGCTGCACAGTGTGTCTCCTGAGGGCCAGGAGTACTGCCAGTCCTCCCTCTCCCCCCCCCCAGACCTCCACTCTCCTCAAATATACAATCCTGATGGCTCCTACCTTTTCCTTGATTATTATCTTTTCCTTGATTATTACAGATGTTAATTGCACTCAACACATTCAAAACGTGTAAACAGAGCCAGTGCACATTTCTGTTGCTGAGGTTTGTTCTCTTCTGCCAGGTGGGGCAGAGAAAGAGGCTTCCCCACCCCATGAAAACAGAACCAAGTCTCTTGAAAGGAGGGCTATGAATAAGAATAATCCTCTAATCATCATCTTTGCTTGTACCTGGACAAAGTGAATTGCAAGGTGCTCTCAGCACTGTATCCAATGTATATTTGATCGGTGATTTATCTACCTTGCAAGATAAGAAATATGGTTGTCTTGACATATAGGTAACTATAAACCTTCAGAATACAGGCAGAGCAACCTGAATATCCTGAGAAGTGTCAAATCCCAAAAGCACTATGAAGCAGCTTACAGTTCAATAGCAGACTGATGCAAGAGTGTTCAGAGACCATCACTTCTGCATCAGAGTTCTGGAGATGCACCTTGTAGGGATAATCCTGCAGGCAGAGC